CTGATGACCCAATAGGCGTGCGTCTGCCCACTTGCCCACTTCCGCCCCACCCCTCCTCAAATCCCAAACGCTTGCAGCGCCTCCTTAAGACGCATGCGCCTTCCATTCTCTGCGGGCTTCTACCCTTGCCACTTTCCACACCCAATGTTCGGTCCCCTCCCTCTTTAATCTCCCGTGAACGCGCGTGTCTACACCCCTGAGAACGCGCATGCCGGAGACCCTGCCCTCTCCGAAATCTTTGAAAAGAGGGCGGAGGGTGGGGCGGGGAAAAGCACGCAAGGGTGAAGCCGGAAAGGGAAAAAGCCAGCTGGAAGGAAAGAAGCCGAACTAGTTAGGACGTGACTGAGCATGCGCACAGGTTACCTGTCCGGCGTGGCCTTAACAATGAAACGGGGCGGGAGGCAGCTTGCTTCCCCCAACGTGCACCAGGCCCAGGTCGCGGAGTGAAAATCCATGGGCTCCTGGGAGTTGTAGTTTCTCTGAGTCTTCTCACCCTTGTCCTGGAATGACCTACTGCTCTCTTCTCCTTGCTCTTGCCCTTGGGAGCTCTATAAGTCACGTGGGCCATTGGCCTAATTGCAGCCTAGACTGTCGTCTAAGCAGCGATCCCCAACCTTTTTGGCACCAGAGACTGGTGCTCCTATGAGAATGTAATGCCTGATGATCTGAAGTGGATCTGAGGCTTTGATGCTAGCACTGGGGAGCAGCTGCAAATATAGATGAAGCTTCATTTGCTCTCCCACTGCTCACTTCCTGTTATGAGGCCTGTTTTCTAACAGGTCTCTGGTACCAGGTCTGTTTCCCTGGGGAGTTGGGGACTCCCTGCTACACAGCAGGGGAACTGAGGGGTAGCCCCTTCATGAGCAGACAGTTGCTACGCCCTTGGTTCAGGCCACGGCTACTGATGGTGGAGCTCTAGAAAAAAAAGAAGAGAATTACTCATATGAGTATCTTTGAGGGAGTTTAGAGATCATCTGTAGTGTCAACCTCTGCCTTTTCTTTGATGGCTAATTTACTAGCCTAAGGTTACTGTAGCTCCACATTAGGGCTATAGAGGTTATAGCCCTTCCCTTGCCTCAGACTTGAACCCAGACTCCCTAGCTCCTGGTCTTGACTTCTTTCCATGCCCCAGCAATCCAGCCTTTCTAACTTGATGCAGAGACAATGAAGAGAGTTATTGTGATTATTGAGTGAAGGTTAGGTGCCTGATGTGGGCCTAGCATGTGGCTTCCTTCATTACATGATAACCCCGCTGAACCATCCAAGCAAGTGTTAAGCTAGCTGAGGTGTGGTCATGGTCTATGTGATGTGATTGGACTGATAGGGCTCTGGAGGTCAGAAAAATAATATGCCAGAGCTGGGCAAAGAATGGCACAGGCCTTGTGGGAATGCATTTCTAAGGCAGATTTTTGGCAGCCAAGGCTATATACGGCAAAGGACCTGTCTCAAAGCATGGTGCAACTCTTTATTACTTCCCATCTTTGCAGAAATTCTGTAAGGCCCTTGAAAGGTATTTTTCAGCTTTGGGATCTAGAACAAGGCGTTCTGCTTCGCCAAGCCTCAGGTTCCTCATCTTTCAAGTGGAGGGTAATAACACCTACCTGGAGTAGTTGATGTGAGGCTTACAAATGACATATTTTAAGTGCCTTTATGCACCATAGATCATCTGAATTTGAGGAGATTAAGTCGACATATTTGGGGGGCCATTTTTAGCCTACTACAGTGGTTTTAAATACTATCTGTATGCTCCTGTCTCCCAGATTCTTGTCTCTATCCTTGACCTCACTCTTGAATTCCAGATGTATGTATCTAATGCTACTCCACTTTGTTACTTCATTGTTTAATAGATATTCCAAACATTCCCAAACAGTGTCTTTAAATCTACTGCATTGTTCACCCATTGTTCAAAACTATTTTCCTAGGAGTTGTCCTTGATTCGTCTCTTTTCCTCACAACTCATATCCAAACTATTAACAGGTTCTATCAGATCCACCTCCAAAGTACATCTTAAATTTTCACACCTATATCGTCTATTCCCCAGTCCAAGTCATCATAATCTCTGGCCTCTACTACCACAGTAGCCAATTCTTTTCTCTGCTCCTCCTTCTCTTTGAACCCTTCACCCCAAAATTCATACAATCCATAATCCATTTTTTATCACAGTAGCCAGAGGATTTCGTTTTCAAATATAAACCAGATCAGTTACTCCTCTGTTTAAAACTCATGAGTGGCTTACCACTGCACTTGGGATAAAATGCCTCTCCAATGTCAGTAAGCTCCAAGCCCTGGCTTGGAAATTCCCCCAGAAACACCAACCAATGTCCTGCTGGTGGCCTTTGCACACAGTGTGTTCACTTCCTGGCTACTTTCTTCTCACCGCTCAGGCTTCAGGTCAATGTTAGCTCCTTAAAGAGTCTTACCCTCCCACCTCTAAAGTACCCCACTTCTTCCTTACACTCACTGTCATATCACCCTGTTTTATTTTTCTCACAACATTTAGTTCTGCCCACAATAATCTTGTTTCTTATTTATTTCTAATCTTCTTCTTTTAGAAGAGAACACCAGGAGAAAAAGGGCATTACCTGTTTGTTATTGTATTTCTCGCCCCTAGAATAGTACCTGGCATGTGAGGAGGCACACTGTATTTGTTGAATGAATGAATGGATGAATGAATAGAAAGAAAAAGAGGCAGGTCCAGATTTGTTTAGCTCTGTTCCATTAGAACATAATAGAAAAACTGAAATCTGTACCTTACCCTAAATCCTGAGATAGAGCAATACTTGGGAGAACATATACAACAGGTAGATGATAATAACAAGGTGAATAGTTGGTATCCAAGAAAAAGGCCTAACATGCAATTTCAGAAAGCATACAACTACCAAAAGCCCAGGTTGATAACTCCTGTCTGCTCTAGGGAATTAAAATTGCTCAGCCCCACTCTCCCACCCACAAGAAATGGCATTTTAGTGGAGATCAATGACTGAAGAGAGTAGCTTGTTATAAAAATGATTCTCAAACTCTTTCGTTCATATATTAAAGAATTTTGAAGAATTTTAGTATAAGTATAAATATTCCAAAGAGTCTGAGTTTTATTATCTTGTAAGTATTAACATTTACTGTAAATATTTTTATACTTGAGGATCTTTTATTGATTCCCCGTAATACTACCTGAAACAAATATATATGTAAATTAAAATTTTATAATTTAATATACTAAGGCTATTAAACTCTAATTTTTAAAGGTTTCTTCTACATTAACTGATCATTACAATTGTTAGCATACAATAGGTCGAGGAAACAAATATATTAGAATTTATATAAAAATTATTTAACATAATAAGTAAATTTTAACTAAAAATGTTTAATGAAAAGTATTCAAGATGAACAAGACTAGATTTTTACATTCCCCTGTTTCCAAGGATAAATAATCACTTATTGCTAGAATTATGCAGGGTTCAAGATTAATTCTATTTCTGTATTTTATTTTGTAAATGTAAGGGCTAAGACATGTTATTTACATAAACAGGTGAGAATGAAGTGTTTTATTATGTCAGTGCCACTCAACTCTTTGAACTCTTTCTGAGTCACATGTCAAAAGTCATGTAGTCAGGAAAAAAGTTATGCAAATCATATACTGATAAGGGACTTGTATCTAGAATATATAAAGAACTCTAATGACTCAATAATAAAAGACAAATAACCTAATTTTTTAAACTGGCCAAGAATCTGAATAGACCTTTCTCAAAAGAAGATATGCAAATGACCAATAATCATGTGAAAAGATGCTCAACATCATTAGCCATCAAGGAAAAGCAAATCAAAACCACAATGACATACTTCGCAACTACTAGGATGGCTATAATTTTAAAAAGCAGATAATAACAAATGTTAACAAATGTGGAGAACTTGTCCCCTCCCCCTCCCCCGCCACGCCATACACTGCTGGTTGGGAACATAAAATATAAAATGGTGCAGCCTCCTACAATACAGTCTGGCTTTTCCTCAAAAGATTAAATGTAGAGTTACCATATAACCCAATAATCCCACTTCTAGGTTTATATACCCAAGAAAAAGGAAACTTAGGTCTGCACAAAAAATTGTACGTTAATGCTTATAGCATTATTCATAATAGCCAAAAAATGAAAATGATCTAAATGCCCATCAACTGATACATGACTATGTGACTTTTGACATGTGACTCAGAAAGAGTTCAAAGAGTTGAGTGGCACTGACATAATAAAACACTTCATTCTCACCTATTTATGTAAATAACATTTCTTAGCCCTTACATTTACAAAATAAAATACAGAAATAGAATTAATCCTCCTTTAATCCACACTTTCGCTTTTCAAGATTTTAGTTACCCTCTGTCAACTGCAGTCCAAAAATTTTTAATGGAAAATTCCAGAGGTAAACAATTCATAAGTTTTAAATTGCACACCATTCTGAGTGAGGTGATGAAATCTCACGCAGTCCTGCTCCGTCCCGCCCAGGATATGAATTGTCCCTTTGTCCAGCGTATTCATGCTGTGTACACTCCCTACCCGTTAGTCTTTTAGTAGTCAGCTTGGTGATCACATCAACTGTTGCGGTATTGCAGTGCTAGTGTTCAAGTAACCCTTATTTTACTTAAAAATGTCTCCAAAGTGCAAGAGTAGTAATGCTGTAATATGCCTAAGAGAAGCCGGTAAAATGCTTCTTTTAAGTGCAAAAATTAGTACAATACAATGAGATATTTTGAGAGACAGACCACCTTCACATACCTTTTTATTACAGTATATTGTTATAATTGTACTATTTAATTTTAGTTATTGTTAATCTCTTACTGTGCCTAATTGA